TACGGCTCTTTTAAACTAGAGTCTAAACAACACTAATGTTGCCTATGTAGCAAAGACTCTGAAAAATTAAGTTTATGAGAAAATATTAGTTGTTTTCCTGTTGAATAATATGTTATACGCATTTGCTCGAAATTACATTTGAAAAATATAAGGATAAATCCGACTTGTCAAATGTGTATACGAGCCAGTCTCCCTTTTAGAAAATCCTCTACGAAGACATCCCTCCCCTTAGGCAGATAGCCCTAGTGTGCTTTGCCATAATTAAATAAACCAAACCGACTGGTCAAAATTCAGTCCAGGATTCTCCAGGAATCGCAGGTTTTGCTCGCATGGTTTGCTCGCAGGCTACAGTCTATTTTGCCAGCACTTATTTAGTGTTTTGAAAAATTCGGAGATCTTTTTCTAGAAATATAAAAATTTAAATAGAAAAACTGGGAAATCTCTCCTGAAGTTAACCGTTTCCCGGGCTTCATACCTAGCGCTGGTTTGACAAATAACTAAATTGAGAAAGTTTAATTTTATTTTCATAATCATTTAAATTTTAAATATTTCTTATGTATCGTATGAAATTTAACACTCGTTTCGTAGGAAATCAAACCATTTACAGGAGAAAAAATTTTATAGTTACTGTACCATTCGTTTCTTCGGTCAGTGAAGTGTCTGCTTACCCATTTCAATCAGAGTTCCATATCAAGAGTGTGTCTTTAGATTTCCAGTAAGAATACGTTTTTCAAACGGGAACCTTTCACAGAAAACAAACACATGCTCACACATATTCACGGAAGCCAAATCGAATGAATCGGTGTACCATAAACTGACCAATTTATGTGTAGATGATTCTAGACGTGTTTGGATCTGAAGGAAAGGAACAACACGCGACGTGCCTTCCCTTGCTCACAAAGTATTTTGTTTCTAAGGTAGCGGTTTCATGTTTTTTTTTTTTTTTTTTTTTTTTTTTTTTTTTTTTTTTGGAGAATCATCAAAAGTTATCTCTCCGAGTACATTTTTGATGGATATTATGTAAACGGTTGCAGAAATGTAAATGAATTACTGAAACTCCTTGTAAAGGTATTTCGGGGTGCAGTAGGTCTAGTTGTTGTGCTAGAGGGTGGTGATGCTCATCCGCATCGAGCATCTATGGTGTCAGAATACTTGGTAACAGATATTATCACTTCAAAAGATTGGCCAGATTATTTACCAAATAGAAATTCGATTCAAAATATGCAAAAAGCGTTATGACACTGAATCTGTAAATGCGCTAAATCCTTTCGTGGTCGTCCTGCAGAATCTGAAAAGTGCACTTTAAGATAGATCGTCTGCATTTCCGCAAGACATGATTAGCAGTTCTTTAAATTCTATGAAATGAAGATGCGAGGTTGGCATTTCTGCCACGGAACGTCATACAGCAGACTAAGGAAAGAAAGGATTTTTTTCACAAAACATTGAAAATCGTGCTTAGATAATATCCATATTTCCTTAAATCTGACTTTGCATTCTGTATTTTGAGATTGATTACCTGGAAAACAGGAACTTACGTAAAATAATGCTTTTGTACAAGTGTCTTTTAATAATATTCCGATACGTAATTGTCATATTTTATTTCTGTCAATAGCCTTAAAATTTATTCATCAGTGAAACATAGTGTTGAGTAATGCAAAATTTCACTCCAGTATCATTAACAATTCGGCTAAAAAGAAATATTGTAAGATATTTTGAAACACAATGACGCAAGGTTATTACGTTGTAAAACTGTTGCATAGTTAAATCAAAATAGGAAGAGTAGTGAGAAATTATCATGGATAATTAACTTACCATAAATGTTAGCTGAACACTGCCTGCAACAAGACATCATTAATGCCGTAGAAATATACTAATCACGTTCATATTTATATACCCCAAAATATGTAACTTGATAAATAAATGTGTATGAATCTGCTGTTTTAATTTGCTTTATGTTTCAAATTAAATGGTTGAAAATGTTAAACTTTATTTATTTCATAAATATTGAGTCTTTGAATGCTTTAATTAATGCCTAATGCATTTTTTGTGTAGAACTTCATAGTATTAGAATATTTCATATGCTGCTTTATGAAGCGTAGGTTGTAGAGTCATTAGGTTTTTTTTGGAAGTAGGAGATATGAAAAAAGAGCAACGCCCTCGAAGGGAATCGAACCATGGACCTCTGAAATACGTGCCCAGCGTGCAGACCATTACACTACGAAGGCATGCTAATAAAGCGGGAGAAATACCTTATATACCCCCATTTTAAAGGGCGACTGGGGTTTTTAGGGCACCCAATTACCAAATCCTGGGTGTGGAGAATTATCATTCACCATCCTTTAAGTTCGGGCGCCACTATAGAATCATTAGGTTATTTTTTGGAAGCAGAAGATATGAAAAATGAGCAACGCCCTCGAAGGGAATCGAACCACGAACCTCTGGAATACGCATGCTAAGAAGGCATGCTAAGAAGGCAGGAGAAATACCTTATAAGGTTAGTTATTAATGCTGGAATAAGTACAAATGTAGCCGAATGCAAACAGTCAGACGTTTACTGCCGGTTCCAGTATTTCAGTGTAAGCATAGTGGCATAAAATGTAGTTTTATAAAAGTATATTGAGTAGAAAGAAAGAATAAATCGCATATTTATTGCATTCAGGACAGGAATATGAGGACGTTGAATTATACCTTGATGTTAATAGTATCCTTCCGCGATGCTACACTGATCTTATGTAGAATCCCAACAAGGCTGCGTGCTATCTTCCCCTCCCACCCCACCTCCCGAAAAAAAAAAATTGCAGTTATCGTTTTGATGGACTCAACACCACTTCATTTCCTCTTTTCTGAATGATTGAATATTCCGATGTTTGGAAATTTTTGATAACAACGTTATAATAACCTTGTTCTCTCTGGCGATGAAAGATATTATATGTTTATGTCCTGATATCTATCCATTACGACAGATTTCTGTTTAAAGAATTTAATTGAGAATTTTAAAAATGGATATAAAATATCTGAAAATGAGTAGTTACAATATAGAATAATGAATAAAGGTTCCAAGAAAAACATTGAATGTTAAAGGTAGATTATCATACTGCAAAACAAAATTCTAAAAAATCCATCAGAGTTTTGAAAATCGCCTATATCTCCTATTTGAGATTCTTAAGCAAAGAATCGTACGATATACATTTTTTCTCGCTTTTATTTCCTCTAAGCTAGTTTAATCGTGCAATCCAAAAGAAGAACAAAAACTCTGAAATCATCGGCATGCGTTCCTGCTAAAGTAAATGATTGCACAGAACTGAGAAGGAATAAAGGTATTTGCATAACAGTTTTCCTCCATTTTTGTCCTTAGATATATAAATAATAACGAATTTCAAGGACAAATCAATAATTCCGTGAAGAAATTAAGATTATGAGATCCGCTGCAATTTTGTAGCTAACTATATTTGCTAACAAATTATTGGTACAGAAGTATCAGTATACAACATAGAATACCATCTGCGGGATAAATTAGAACTACGAAAGGGTTAAAGCTTAATTATGACTGATTTGAATATGAATAGATATCGGGAATAAAATTTTTTTAAGATTATTGCCGATGTTATTAGCCAGTGGTAGAAATATATAGAGTACCCTGTTAAGGAATTTTCTGAGACTTGTGATTTCCACGTCTTTTCCTATATCTAAGGTATTAATTTAATTAACTTTTGTTTACATTGCATTACAAAGCATAGAAAATTAGGTTCATATTATTATTATTACTATTTGGCTTCAATAAAATATTGTGTTTAATTATTCAACGATCAAATTGCTTTATAGCTTGAAACTTATTACATTTTACATATGAAAAGTACTAAATAAATAAATAAACAAAATAACGTTTCAAAAGAATTACGAAGAAAGTTTCCCATTTAAATAAATTTGGATGATTTTCAAGCCAAAAGCAGAAGTTTAATTAAAAACAAACAAATAAATAAGTAAATAAAATATTCGAAACGCAGGAAACACATGAAATTGCTAATACAAGGAATGATTCGTAGCAAGATTAACGTTTATTACTTTGCAATCAAAGACTGAATGACTTAATTTAAGCCATTTAGTCTTTGATTGCAAAATACTAATCGTTAATAGTTAATGCAGTAGTTAAATCCTGACATTAATATAATAGTTAATGACGAAATGTATTTAAAAATTCTCACTTCTTACGCCTATTATGAGGCTAAGCCAATAAAAGAATGCGCAGTACAAAGAGATATTGAGTAAATTATTAATCCTATTACAGCGATTATTTTATACAGTTGATGTTATTTGTTATAGAAAAGATGCAGAGAATATTATAGTATTATAATTGTTATTATATTTCGCTTTAATGGTACAGCATACGAATTCAAGAAAATAATGCTGAAGTGGCTACAGTAGATGAAACTTACTACGTTTCAGTAGATGAAAATTATACTTTTAAACAGAAGATTTTGATCTACCATATTAAGAGCATCCTATCATTGCTAAATTAATGATAAAATTTAAATCTGAAATTACTAATTTCTCTTTCAAAATTATATGGTGTTCCTTATAAGTCTTAATATTTAACTTCAAATTTAGGATACAATTCACTGATGACAGTATATGTAAACGCATTTTGTTACCGCTGTAAAATTCAAATTAGTATCTGAAAATTAGCCTTTTTGATAGGGTAGGGAATTATATTAATGAAGAAAATAAAAAAAAAAAGTACGAGCCTGTTTTCGCCAATAGTTCTGTTTCTTCGAAAAGCATATAAGATTGAATGTTTAAAATGTTGTTAATGTGCAAATGTTTAAAACTATCTAAATACATTTAGCATTAAGAGTTGCACAGATACGTACGTATATTAAGGCTACCAGGTGAAAAATGTTAGTGCATTCAATTTCTTGTTTTCGATAATTATTTTTTTTTCTGTTTTTCTCTTTTTGTTCATTAACAATTACAAATTTGACGAAAATATTATTTTTTTGCAGGAAAGGGGAATGTCAACGTATCATCGCATGGACCCGAATCTCGGATCTTCGAATTTCTAGATGAACATGCTAACCACTTACCATATCACTCATGGAAGAATGAAATAATTGCTTATATTCTTTCCTATTTAAAAACAATTGAGGTCAATAATGAGATCCAGTCATCAGATCCATGTAATTATGAGTTATCATCTCCCATGTTTTAGTTCGAACATTACAGTAGATATCCCTGGGGCGTTTCTGCAAATAGTGTGTGCATGCTCTGCAGTACTCAAACGCACAAACAATCTAACTTTAAATCTTTTGCTCTAGTTTTTATATTCAAGAAACTTTAAGGGTTATACTTTTCCCGTACAAAATACGAGTATTTATATATTTTTAATTCTACCATAGTATTTTTTCTTCAGGTGCCATTAGGTCAGGAAGAGAAAACTTAACTGAAGAATCAAAATAAAGAATTTCATTTGGTGGCACTGATTTATGTTAAATAATCCTCGGGTCTTTAAACTTGCAACATAAATAATTATTTTAGAAATCTTCTGTTGCTATTATTTCAAATTAAATGCATGTTTCTGAATCTACAGAAGTAAATTTCTCCTAGTTATTGCGTCTGATATTTTAAGATTTCTAGCCTGAGATACACGTTTTTCCCCTTAATGTGAGAAAAAAAAAGTTTTAGTGCAACATTTACTATCACCTGTTAAAAAATAAAAATTCTTTCTTAACATTTATATCTTGGTTTCTAGGTTCTTTGCACAGTATGTATGCGGACACTGAATTAGTTTTTCTGTTACTTTCTTACGGCTTATTAAAACTGCCAGTTTATTGTGATAATCACTAATGATGCACCGTAATTTTGTTTTGTTTTCCAGCAACCGAACCGAAATGCATTTACGAGTTTAAAAAGATTGGATTCACATTCTGATGATTTTTTTATTTTCGACAGTATTCATTCCCTAATAAAGAATAACGTGGCGCTTTAAGGGAAAAAAAGGGTTTCACTGCTAAAACATAAATTGAAGGTATTATGATATCGACGTTGGTTCAGCTAGGTTCGATACTTTCAAATTGTTACTTTCGATAAATCATAGATGTTTCGTAGAATGATTACATATTCAACAGGTTAGAATCAACAGGATAAAATATTCGATATTCTCATTTAAACAGACTGAAGAAGACAAAATTCATTACTTAAGATATGGAATGCAATTCAGAATTATACTTTCAGAAGAATTTTCTTGTGTTTGTTTTTCTTCTGAACTGTATGAATTCTAGAGACTGTGAAGTGTAAATCAATGTAGCATTTGAACCGATATATACAATAATCAACTTAACAGTCTTAAAAGTTCCACCAGTGGCAGAGTGATTAGTATTACAGTATTTCGAGTCCAGACAAATGGACTGGCTGCTTGGGTACTTTAGTACTAATTCCCTCATTTCGTAGTTTCCCCTAGAATAGCCTTCAGAAAGAGCCATCGCGTGCTCTGCTACGTTCAAATAATCTAGCAATAACAAAACTCAAAAGAGGATTTGAAACCAGAAGAAAGTAGAAACCATGTGTTAGTGTTAAATACGCGTAAAGAAATTTGAATTTATTTGGATTTTACTTAATGTCGATGCTTAAATGAGTTTAGAGTCTGACTACCACTCGTTTGAAGGATTTTTTTTGTACAGAACATGAGGAGCTTTTATAACATGCATCAGGATTTCTTTAAACATTGAAATACAGAACTAATCCTCCATAAATGTGACGTATATATATATGTAATAATTTTGATGCCCAGTCGTGATGGCAGAGCGGCAAGACGAGATGAAACTGGATTCCGACAAATCACCAGTCTTTATTTTCACACATATCCAATTACGCGCGAAATTACGGTAGTTTGGCAAACACTTATTCAATCATAATTAGATGTAATAAATTTGTATGCACATTTTTTAAAGAAATGACGCAGACATTTAGAAAGCGAAGCAATGCGAAGATGTTAGCAAGGTAGAAGCTAGCAAAAGAATTAATTCACCAGCGGTACTCTAAGTCTGATGTATAAGTACAGCTAATCGTAATTGGTTAACTTAAGTTTTAGTTGCCCTTTCTAAGTAGCGTTATATAACATGGAAGGATCTTGAATTTGGGAGAACAGATGAATTAAGGGGAACACCACCAAGTCTAGAATGTTAATTTCGAGACCGCCAATTATTCTTTAAGCAGCTATCGCATAGACATATATCTATATATATATATATATATTATATATATATATATTTATATATAATATATATATATTCTATATATATATATATATATATATACATATATATATGTTGTATTGTGTGTGTGTGTGTGTGTTTATGTGTGTGTAGTTATATTTTAATAAAAATTCAGCAGTAAACCATACAGAAAAATAAAATCTTCTTTTCACTAGAAATCTCCACTTTTTATAGCATTGCAAGCTTAATATGACATTTTTGTCGTATTACGTACTACTTATATTTGAATAATTAATTACAGAAAAAACTACAGCCGTTGGGAAAACTGAACATAGAACTGGGAATTAGACGCAGAAGCGAAATCAGATATTCCTTTTTACACTATTGGATTATTTAGGGCTGAATCAAATTCTTATATTAATCACTTAAACATATAAATACTCCATCAAGTGACTTGCTTCTCAGACGTTCACATTGGGAAACTTAACTAAGAATGCGCATCATTCAGCTAAGTTGTATTCTTCAGCTTTTAGATCATTTTTTGCAACTACAATTCTAACAAGTAAGTTTTAAAAAAATATACTCTGTTGAGAAAAACATAACTGGAATATCCATTGGAAACCATTTTTGCAATTGTTTCGAAGAAAATAATAATAAAGATTGGTTCCGTGACTTCCAGTAAAATAATGAACTATGTATAATCTAGTAATATCTAATCTTACAATAGAAATTTAATGAAATGGGATTGAAGGATAAAATTCTAGCTCAATGTATTTTCATTAAAAGAAATAGCTAGACTCCTACGACTGTTAAATTCCAAACAATTAACCGGGTAAAAATTTGCAATAAGTATTTAACGAGGAATTTTCCTCCGGCTTGAAACTGCTCATTTAATGGAATTCGTTCGGACATGTAAAGAAAAATATAAATATGAATAAACTTCACCAACAACACTTGTATTTTTATTCCATTTCGTAAAACAAAATCAATTTCACTTCTGTTTTTATTGATGTTAGCGCTATGTTTGGTTATGCAGAACATGAAATTCAGCAATAACACGAAAATAAACAATCCGTTTTTTATGCCAGTTCAATTCTCGAGTAACCGGTAACCAGAGAGAGCATCCACGATTAACTAGAAATCAATTGTATTGCGAGGACATTTTTAGAGCGATTTAGGTAGTTACTGGAGCAGGAAAGAAGGAAATTAAGCAATGCCCACACCGAGACTCGAGCTCCGAACCTTTCGATTGCCATCCACAAGTGCTTACAATTACACCACAAATGCACGCGGTAAGGCATGTAAAAGCTCTATTATATTCTCCTTCAATGAAAGGATAACTAGAGAGGAAGAGGACACATTTGTCAAATGCAGCTGGTTATGACTTACAATCCCTATTTTAGCTCAGGTACCACTTGTAGAGCAATTAGGTATTTAACGGATCAGAAAACAAGATCAGCAGTGCCTTCGTAAGGATTCAAACTACGGACTTTCCGACTGCCAGCCGGACGTATTTCCAATTACACCAGAAGAGACGGAACGCGGGTAAAGGAGAAAAATCTCTTACAGCTTATAAAAATATGACAAAGAATCACTCATATTATAGTGGACAGCAAAATATTAGTAAGAATTTATCTGTATTTTCCGACAGTATAATACGAAGAATAATTTCATTTGGTTGCTTAAATTAAGTCAGCGTTCAAAACAAAACGAAAACAAAAACAGCATAAAAATTTAAAATTGCAGGAAAATCATTAGACTGAAAGAAATTAAATTATTGGTGGCATTAAATATGGTAGTTACGAGAGAACTTGAACATTAGCATTAAATTTAAGATCTAGTAAAAAGTTAGAGATTTTGCTATTTTTTCCGCATAGTTCATTTGATGGACATTAATTTGATAAAATTGATAATAGCCTATGCACTTCCTTTCCCTTTCAGTATTTTTAGTAGATTGTTTTGTTTTATGCTAATGGTTTTTGACAGCAATGTTTTCATTATTTTGCAATAAGAAGACTTTTTTTTTCAACAGATCCCAATTTATTCACAATCTGCTTAATCTACCCTACTCTACACCATTACTTTCGAATCAATTTATCACTAGTAAAATTTCAGATAATTATTGTAACAAAGAAATGCTGTATGAGTTCCTCATCCAAATGTTTATTTATGTTTGTGAAGCTTCACAAGCTGTTTGGAAATCTGAAATGCAACTATCGCCATAGTACGATTTTTTTTTCTGTTTTGCTGTATAATAGAAGGACTTAGAAATACAATTAAATCAGTTGACTTTCCTTTCTTAACAAAACAGCCACTTCATAAAGTGAAGTTTTTTTTTTTTTTTCAAGAATGAAAATTTTCCGAGACATATTATTATTATTATTATTAGTTTTCTGAAGTTAGAAAACAGTATCACTGCAGACAGGCGTTACGCAACAGTGGAGCAAAGGTAAAAAATTACTCCCTAAAGAAAATGCAATTTAGTAAAGCAAACACCTACAACCCGACGTGGAAAGTACCCTACTTTGAGATAGCGGGGAGTCAGGGGAAAAAAATTGTAATCACCTGGGATTAAATTAATCAACACAGGCGCCCACCAAAGTAATTTCAGCTTTTTCGCTCCAAATACATTTTCGCATTTTTTTACTACCTCGATCTTTCAACGTTATCGGCTAATGCAAGCTAAGCATTATACCTCTGTGTGTAGCTATAATTATTACCTAGTCCTAACCCATACTTTAAACAAAAGCAGCAACAACCATGAATAAGTTTTTTTTTCTTTTAATTAATGACAAACCTGCATTATCTTGTGCAACGTGCAAAGAGGAGCGGGTACTGAGATAATTCTCTTCCTTAATGACCGAGGTGATATTCGGTTTCTTGAATGTAATTAAAATTCATAATAATCAGAGTACCTCCATTAAGAAAATTCTTAAGTCTCGTTTGGGTGCAGGGGAAAATGACATTAAAAAGGGTGGCTATTCGATTGGATGTCTGCAACAAATTCAGGCAGTGCAAAATTTCATTATCAACATGGTTAAAACATGCAAAAAGATTGCTTTTTTTATGGCGAGAATATATAATTTTGAGTGTTCCCGCTTTTAATTGCTTTAATCAATCTTGTTACCTTCTCCTGCTATATGATTCTCGCAATTTCTCATGAATTTTTCTGGAGCATTGGATTGCAGATCGTTATTAGTTGGTTTCTTAGATTTCAGACGTTATGTATAATAACATGATGGGGAAAGTAACATAAATCTGTTATTTAGAATTTTCATTCCTTTCATGTTGAAAGACAATTAAGGTAGCTTATACGATTTTGCTCTTTTTATCCCACTTGGCAGTATTGCTATAATAAGGCTATAAGTACGCTACTCCTCAGAAAATTAAGAAAGTAGAAAAGTGTGGGTAATGTTCCTCTCTCTAATAAAAGCAATGAAGATGAAAATTTGACCTAAACTA